GGGTGCTGCTGCTGCTGCTCTCAGGTGTTTGTAGGGGTGGCAGCAGAAAATAAAAGCGTTGCTTCCCGGCGTGTCTTAGAATCGACAACTCGCCCTCCCCGCGCGCGTTTTCTGGCTCTGAGGGTTCTGCTTGTGTGCTTTAGGAGCAGTAAGGAGCTACTGTCATTTGAGATGGGCGGGGGGGGAAATGCACAGTTCACCTTCAGTGGTTTTTTTTTCCCGTGACTTCTGGGTGGGAGCAGAAAGCGTGGGTGCCCATCGGGGAAGATGCTGCTTTGCAGCAAGAGTGATTCTTGGGGCTGCTCTTTGGCAGTGGTGCCAGTCTATTTTTTCATGGACCCTGCTTGCTCTCATTGCATGGCAAGTTTACTGCTTTGCTTTCAAAACATCATGATAGTCCAAACCTTCTTAATACTGCTTTCATTTCTGTGCAGCTGTTGAGTGCCTTGGGTCTTAGCAGGCTGTCTGGTCTCACTTCTCCAGATGCTGATGGGTTGTCTGGGCCAGCAGCAGTTTCGGAGTGGACAGGGCAGCTTGTAACACTGCCCAGAACTTGATTTCATCCTGAATGAGGGAGCTGATGGTGTTTGTTGCTACAAGCAACTCCATAGTTATGTTTGTGTGCTAATAGATTCAGAGAGAAAATGAAGTACTCATGAAGTTTTTTATTTCCAGTTGTTGGCTGCAAGATTTTCAGCAAATCAACAGCAGAAAGCTTTGAATGTTGACAGGTCAGAAGATGAGGCTTTTCTGATATCCATTCTGAATAGTCCAGGGGCCTTTATGGCTGTACGAGCTGACTGCAATTTCAAAAGGCAGCTTCTTTGAGAGTTTATGAAGTTCAGAAATTATTATTTCAAAATATGCTTCCAGATGTGTAATGTTAGTTTTAAGAAGGTCAAAATTTATCCTGTAAGGAGACTTTTCTCCCCTCCTTAACCCTGTATAATGATTAAGTTTGTGGAAATTCAGATTTTAGGAATGTGCAGTCTCCTGTGCGAGAACAAGTGACTTTGTGAGGGGAGGATGAGGGATGGATTGAAATCCAGTAAATTATTTACCAAATGATGGTTCCTCTTGCACTTTGTGCCTTGAATTTAGATTTTTTGGCAAAATCTTCAATACATTTAGAGATTATGATCAGATGCCTAGACTGTGACTCCACAGGTAGTTACAATGTCACATTCAGTGCATTTTTATAATATTTACCCTGGTAATAAAAAGAAGGGCAAGGGGAAGTCATGGTTTTAGGGTAAAGGTGTTTCTGCCTAATCTAAGGCTCTAGCCAGCTGGAGGAATGGGTACCTGTTTTCTGTTAAAAAGCTTCAGGCTTTTTAGGGTTGGTGATATTTATTTCAGCCAGTTAAAGCCAAGGTAAAGGCCTGCAGTTCTGCTATTTCAGATACAGTGAGGTTGTTAATTGGTTCAATTATGTTTCAATGTTCAATACTGTTTATTGTACAACAAAAAAAGCTACAGAAAGCCGTGAACTACCCATTATACCCTCCTGTGTGCATAGGTTAATTAATCAGACCTGGCAAGCTCAACAGGTGGTTTTGGCGCTGTTGTCTCTTCCAGACAGTGAAATTTCAAAAAGGCTGGATGACTGTCCGGTCTTGGGAATTTGCATTAATCTCCTCTCAGTGATTCCATGTGAATACCACAACTAGTTTGAACGTGCAAAATATCATTTTCTTGTATCAGCTTATAATGCATGCTATGAAATCGTTCATACTTCCAGTGGTCATAGCAAGACCATGGCTTAGACCATGCGTGCATAGAAGAAAATCAGTGTAAGTCTTCTGGTATAACTGAATTATTCCAAAATACATGGATGCTACTCTGGGATCTGTTCCAAAGCAGTCTTGTCTACAACAGCATTCCTTATCAGGTTTTATGTAGATAAGGTCTTTGAATTTGATTTCACAACTCGTCTGAGTGTCCTGCAGGAAACTATTGTGTATTACATTTGCCGAAAGATTCTGTGTCTGTCAGAAAGCAAAATTCAGATTATTTGATACTCTGCTCATTTTATCCTGAGGGTCAGACTGGGAGTCATGCTTTGTAAAACTGACATATGAGGGTACTCCAGATGATCAGCCCTGTAGCACCTGAAACTGCTATAATGCCTGCTGGCCTCTGTTGGTTGTGCCTATGTACCTGTTGATAGGATTGGGTTTACAGATCCACAAATCCTGCTCTTTCATGCAGGCTCTGCACCAATTTGCTTGAAAAGCTTCCTGGGATGTACAGATGTGGTTGCAGAGCAGGATTTGTCATGGTGCTGAGAGCAGGGAATGAAGACTTGCTAACAAATCCACGTGGACTCTGCAGAGGTTTTAGTGCACAGTAATTCACTGACAATAACTATATAGCAAAATCTATCTGGCCTCTATGCATCACTGGAGGGTTTTGCATGTCAGCTGCATGCACATGCATCTCCTTGCCAAAATCATAATTGAAAGCCTTCCTTATAAGAAACAAGAAATTCACTCTTGCTGTGAGTCTCAGACCGTTATTTGGCCTCCAGTTTGCTTCCTGAGTTTTTTAATTTCAAACAGTGTGCTTGAGGAACATATCTCAAATGAATGCCAGTCTCATTTCAAACAACCATTTTTATTATGCAGTCTTTCCATACCTATTGCTTATTTCACTGCAGTATTTGAGTATTTCCTAAGTGCTTCTGGGCTGCTTATATTTTTGCCTAATAAGAGAATGACATCCAAATTTCAGATCTCGGTTCACTCATTATTTAGCTTCCTGAAAGCAAATGTAGGGCAATTAAGCCTTGAAATTACCAATTTCAGATCTGGGATTCTTTCCAAAGGCCAGTAGTGTTTCTCACATTTTCTCACTTGGTTGAACAGGAGTTACTTTAAATGAACCATACAACTGATATTCTCTTTTTTTTTGTTGTTGTCTTACAGGTTATTAAATGTAAGGCTGCTGTTGCCTGGCAGGTAGGCAAACCTCTATCTCTTGAAGAGGTGGAGGTTGCTCCACCAAAAGCTCATGAAGTTCGTATCAAGGTAATTAAATCAGTTGTTAGCTGGATGCATTGTATTTTGGGAGTATTAAAGTGGAATAGTTTGTTCAACAACAAATGTTGAACGGATAACATTAGTTCATTAGTATCTCACCTGGCTTTACACAGAAGAAAATTATGGTTTTTAGATCTCCCATTTATGAAGAAAACTTAATTTCTACTGGTTTTGCTTCACAATCTGGACTAAAGATCATGGTGAGCCTTGGAGATCAATTCCAGTTGTTACAGACAACACTCCCACAAAACATCGGAGATAAGAACACCTTCAATCTTGTTTGAAGCACAGAAGCTTGTACCCTGTTGCAGCTGTGTAACACACTGGATTTTAGTTCAGTCAGGCCATAAATTACTGGCTGCTGAGCTGTGACTGGTCATTTGGATTCCCCATACCCAAGTTTCTGATTTCATCAGGGCTTACCAGTAGCCCCTATCTGCCACAATGTGTATGTAAGGTGAAATTCATGTCTGTGGAAGTAGTGCATGCATAGTGCTTAAGACTTTATGCAGTACTGAGATTTCTGTGTGGTGTCTCTGGTCATTTTTCCTTTGAGACTCTCACTTATTTCAAATCTGAGATGCCAACCTACTTTGAGACAACTCGGGAGTACTGATTTCTAGCTTTGGGAAACCAGATGTCATAATCTACCTGTTTCAATGCCAGAATTTAGTTGATGGAAAGGAGAGATGTACTATCATGAGTTTACTGTTTCAAAGGAAGAAAAAGTGACTAGCCTTGGCACACCTGTGCCTTGCCAGGAGTGAAGGTATTTTGGCCATATCACAAATGCTGCCAGGATTGGCAAATTTGTCCCACAGTTGTTCTGAATTTCTGATCAAAGGGAAATACTTACATCTGTGCTACCATTAGGTTCTTCAGAGTGCCTCAGATTATATATTTCCTCACAGATAGTTGCCACTGCTCTCTGTCACACTGATGCCTATACTCTGAGTGGTGCTGATCCTGAAGGATGTTTCCCTGTGATCTTGGGTCACGAAGGAGCAGGCATTGTAGAAAGTGTCGGGGAAGGAGTAACAAAAGTAAAGCCAGGTAAGACAGCATGTTACAAGTTTTCTGTCTTCCTTTAAAGTGTTACTTTACTACAAGGTCATCTGTCAAATTGGGCCACTGAAATGCTATCCTGCAGGAGTTAATAGAATATTTTATTCTGGGGTGTGTGCCTGTGTAGATTTCTCATCTGTGAGATACAACACTAATCTAGTCTGTGTTCTTGGCTTAATGCTTGAAAGACCCCAGCATACCAATGTCTTACTTGAAATCAGATCAATATACTTAGAACAGGGGGTTTTTTAAATTATAGTTTGTACCTGTTGGTTGAATTAAAGGGCTTAAAAATGTTTAATCATGTTGTTCACTGTTGATTTGGGGTTGTTTTGTTCTACAATAACATTCCTATTTGTTCTGGAATGAAGAACTTCTGATGAGCTGTCTTCTCTAGACATGAGAAAAATATTTTCTCTAGCACTTTCTAGACTACATAAACAATGCTACTCTATACTGTAAAGTTTTTAATACACAAGATTTTAAGTGAACACAAGCTCACATAAAAGCCATGGAAATTAAGCTCAGTTTCTTCCTAATGCCTTGCTTGACTTGATAAATAGTTGCAGGATTTTTTTATTATTTTTTTTCTTAGGGGACACTGTAATCCCTCTATACATCCCCCAGTGTGGAGAGTGCAAGTTTTGTAAGAATCCTAAAACAAATCTGTGCCAGAAGATAAGGTCTGTATGCTTTTTATTTTGGCACATGGCATAGTATTTGGTCAATGTATATCTGTTCTAGTTAGGAAAAGTAACTGACGGATTATCTCTGAAGAATAAATCTCTTGATGCATCATTTAATGAATTGGAAAGTATGTGTTTTAGAGAGTCAGTTAGGCAGTACTTTCCATTCTTCCTTAAAATGTCTTTTTGCCCTTAAATAAATCTTTTTCTCTGTTTTCATGTATGTGAAAATGTAAACTGTCAGCTTGTGTCTACAGCTCTGAAACCATAAATGCTCTGACTCCATATTTAATCCATACTTAAGGGAATTTAGCTTTTGGGAGTCAACACCAAAGCTGTCAAGCAGTACAGAAAGCTCTTTATTCCTTACCACCTGCTTCCTATTTAAATGTCCAGCTTCCATTCATTTTGAAAAGAAGTTTCCCAAAAACTAACAGAAATCCAATGACATAATTGATAGGGAGGGTGCACTGAAGGAGGGGTAGACAGGGGTGTGGTACTATGGCACAGGCAATTAGAACTGATAGCTAACAAGGTCAGCGTGTTGATAAACTACATTTCTTTCACTGCCTCCATGAAGGAATTAGGAGCTTCAAGTTTTAAGAGTTTAGCATGTAGTTTATCTGAAGTCCTGGGTTTATTAGAACAATTAAAAACCAAAAAACTCAGTGCAAGTATGAACTGCATCTCTGTACTGCTTATAGGATACTGTCTGGTGAGAGTTATTTACTGCTTAAGATTCTGATTGTATTTTCCTGTCTTTGCCTTAAGAATTACTCAAGGGAAAGGACTCATGCCTGACGGTACCAGCAGATTCACATGCAAAGGAAAGCAGATTTATCACTTTATGGGGACTAGCACCTTCTCCGAGTATACTGTGGTGGCTGATATCTCAGTAGCCAAGATAAATGCTGCAGCACCTCTTGATAAAGTGTGCCTGCTGGGTTGTGGCATCTCTACTGGCTATGGGGCTGCTGTTAACACTGCTAAGGTAAAGGCTCTGGTTGCCTCTGGCTTTTCTCGGTATCTGAGCCAAAGTACCCAGCTTAGGGACTAGATTAAGGCTGTAATCACAATGTACGAAATTTGTTTGTTCTTCCTCTTCAACTGATGAAGTTTATCTAGGAATTTCTAACTTCTCCACAAAGGCCACATGAGGTTAGAAGAACCAGATGCCCTATAGAGGAAATCCATGTAGAAGATTCTGCATCCCTTTTGATACTAGATACATATATACACATTACTTTTCCAATTAATCTTGCTCAGAGTAATTCTGATAATTTGAAGCTCAGGGTGAGACAAAGCTGGTAGGTGACTGTGCTTGAGTCTAGGGCAGGTGATGGCTCCTATGAGTCCTTGGGCAAAAAGAAAAGCTTAGTACCTAAAGAGCTTTTGGATTAAATTTCTGTGTAGTTTCACTTATCTAAGTGATAAAAGTCTCATAGCCTTGCTTCTTTTGCTTCAGTGTTCCTACTCATGTGTAAGGATGAATTTTCTCCGTTGCTTATGGTTTTTTTTCTTATTCCTAGGTGGAAGCTGGCTCTAAGTGTGCTGTCTTTGGTTTAGGAGGAGTTGGTCTGGCAGTTATTATGGGCTGTAAAATAGCAGGAGCATCCCAGATCATCGGCATTGACCTTAAAAAGGATAAGTTTGCCAAAGCCAAAGAGTTTGGAGCTACTGAGTGCATTAGCTCTGAAGACTTCAAGAAGCCTATACAGGAGGTGTTGGTTGAGATGACTGATGGTGGCGTAGACTACTCATTTGATTGCACTGGGAATCCTGGAGTCATGGTGAGTGCCTAACAGTAGTACAGAGAGGGAGGGAATAGCTAGCTGCCACTCAAGTTTTTTAGCTAAATAGCAAAATGAGCCTCTTTCTTGTTACAGAAAACATGCCATACTTGTTTATATTTTAAAAAGTAATTACAACTGCTCTGACTAAAAAGGTCAATTTACATGCAATTCTAATTATGTAATGAAAGCAGATGGTACTTTTTAGGTTGAAAATGGCACTCATAATTAACAAACCTGTTAATGCTTATTGTGAGTTCTTTGAAATTCTGAGTTTTCATATGTTGACAGCTGAAAAATTTAGAAAACCCACTTAAAACGTATTGTGCAATGAACAGTAAAATCTCAAGAACCACTCAGTATTTCCCTAATTCCTCAATTAATTAATTTAACCTTTGGAAATGTAGAAGTATTACTGAATGTAAGGCTGGGTTTTCAGAAATTACAACAGTCCTGTCAGTAACATGGTCTACCTTGTCTCTGATTATGGTTTATCCCAAATCCCAGTGGGAGTTCAGAGTGACTTCTCTGGAAAACAGACGGGATATAAAAAGAGCAAAGTGAATCCTTAACAGTATAAGGAGTCTGAACCAATGGAAAATTTAATGTAATTTTTAGTGTATTTATTGTTTTTTACATACTAATGTGATTCATAAACTGGGGGCATTTAAGCACAACCTGAGCCAGACTAGGCAGCATAAACATTATCAGTAAAAGCTCTGCTTTGTCCTGTCCATCTGTGAAGAGAGCTGCCTTGGAGGCCTGCCACAAAGGCTGGGGAGTCAGCGTGATAATTGGAGTAGCTGCTGCTGGTCAGGAGATCTCCACAAGGCCATTCCAGCTGGTAACAGGGCGGACGTGGAAAGGGACTGCGTTTGGAGGTATGGGGATAAAAATAACTTACTTGGGTTAAAGGTGGGAAGAACACACCTGCCTTGCTTTTGCCAGAAATGTACTACTGAGAGTATTCATAAATGCTGTGTTGACTTTTAAGATAAAGACTTTTGAAATCTGCTATTCCTACAGACAGGCTACAAAGAAACATGTTGATATGATATCTCATATTTTGAAGAGAGAATATAACTATATGCTATCAAGTACTAAGAAGTAGTATAGAGGGATTGCTTTATTACCAAGTGAAGGTGTTTGGTCTGGTGAAAGGACCTAGTCTCTGGGGAGATGGAAACTTGTTTTGTGTTGCTTAACCACTAAGCAAATTGTGTGGCTAACAGGGGAACTTGCCATAGAAAGCTTTAAAATAAACAAGTGCTTGATCTACATTTTCCGCTGTCAAACCAAAAAACACATTGAGACTTTTGCTGCTACCAGTAACTTTGGGATTTTAGTTTAAGTTCATGGGAAGTATCCAAACTTGATGTTATTATTACAAGTAATAAAAAACTTAGTTGTGTTATAAAGATCCATAGAGGAGCTGATAGAGATGCAGTGTGCATGCTTTCCTAGGTGAGGGCTGTTTATGTTGAACGCTGAAATACCTAGTGAACTGTTAGTGCACTTACATGTTTGGATTATGTATGCTCTTGCCAGACCTAGCTGTCCTCTTGCATTCCTTACTCACTGCCTGCCTAGAGCAGGAGGGACAAACATGTCACTGATCTCAGTTCCTTTTCATAGTTATGACACAAAGCGTCCATCGAAGTGTTGCATTTTTTTTGTTGTTTTTCAAAGTGAGTGGTAAAGAGAAAAACAAATGCATGCTTTCTGTCTTTCAGGCTGGAAGAGTGTAGACAGTGTACCGAAACTGGTGAATGACTACATGTCCAAGAAGATCAAGGTTGATGAATTTGTGACACATACCCTGCCTTTTCACAAAATTAATGAAGCTTTTGAGCTGATGCATACAGGAAAGAGGTAATATTCATAATATTGAAAGGTGTAGAAAATATTTCTTGATGAAACACTGTCAAAATGTAGGTTCCCTGCCTGCTATCAGGTTTTTAACAGGGAGGATACAGGCTGACATATACCATGCACACTCAGGGATAAACATTTATACCTTCTCTGAGCTTCTAAGCATGTGTCAAAACACAGGCAGAGAGTAAAAGCAAGCAACAATGCATAAGGGAAATGCACAAGTATGTAAAGTTGATAAAGGGGACAAGTCAGTCTTGGGTTTCCAACATTGCTAAAATATTCATCCTCAGAAAACAATGGAAAGAGATGGAAGGGGAGTTTACATGAATTCATGTTTACAAGTCATTACACTATTAGTCTATTTTAATTAAATAGTACATTTCAGTATATTTTCAAACTATTCAGGATAGATTACCAGCACAATCAGTCACTTCAAATGATCTTTTAATATGCTGCTTTTTTTTTCCCCCCTCTAATCTGAACTGGGGTAGAACATTCATGTAATGGGTTTGTAAGTCTTATATACAGCAGTTTCTGCCTTTATTAATATAAATGGCAGTTTGGATGGCTCATACTGCAGATTAGGCCATAGTTAAACTTGGTAGTGAGGCCCAACTCTACTGTGTATTGATGTGACTCTACTTATTGGTAAAAATCTCACACAGAAAAGGGGGAAGGATTGGACAGTTTTAGCCTAAGGGTGTGTTAAATGTCTTTTCAAGAGCAGGCCTCCTTTGTCTTATAAAAAGACAGAAGTTAAAGTATGTCTCAGCAAGCAAAGGGAGGGGAGAGAAGGGAAGAAAATTGACTTCTTGGTAATGCTTTTTTTTCTTTTCCATTTTAAGCATTCGAACTGTGCTAAATTTTTAGAGCCAAATGTGGACCTTTCAGTTGGCCAGCAACGTGATAACTATCCATCTAGAATGGAATTTCTGATAGAGAGTAGAATCAAGCAAATGGAAGATTCACTGGGACTGGGAAGACTGTAATCTAGAGATTGAGTATTAAATAACAAAAAATCCGTAATCACTGAATAGCCTTATATAATGAGCACTGGTTGTGGAACTTCTATTTCTGTACTTATTCTTCAATAGTGCTTAACTCAATCTACTTAATAAAAGCTTATTTCTAAACAGTGTTGGAATTATTGAACATTAAGACTGTGACTATGATTTCTGGGTCTGACTCTACTGATTTTGCAGTATGTGTGCACATGACAGAAGAAGAGCATTCTTCAGAGTCAATGGCAAATTCTGTGGGGTTCATTAGGCAGTTTGCTAAGCACAGCTGGCACGAGCAGCAGCACTGATGTGCTGTGACTGTACTGAGAGAGTGCCAAGAAGTCCAACAGCTGTCAGACTTCTTCTGTTGAACTATACAGCATGAACAATCCAGCTCTACCTTGAAACCAACTCTAGAGCAGTGTGGTTGGATGTATGACCCAAGTACCTGTGTTCACTTGTGAATTCCATATTCTCCCTTAGTTCCTATTTGGCTCATTACAGTAGCTCTAGGCAGGCCCTGTTGTAAAGATGATAGCATACACAACTCCAGTCACTCTCCCTAGTGTTGTCCTCCAAGACTTCAGTAGCACAGTTTTGCCATTTTCTTAAACTTACGAGCAACTGAAGCAGCATTTTACAACCAACACTGAAAATCTCTTTAGTCAGAAGCTGGGAATGTTACTTCTAAAGCAACAGTCTGCTCTTGTGGTGCAGGGGAAAAATGAAAAGCGTGTGATAAATGCTTCAGGGGTTTGTGCAGTTTTGTTTCTTGCTGAAGGAGGGGCTGTCTTAATTTTGGGGTTGCAGGCATTTTTTTCTTAACTAGAGTTGAAATGCTCTGAACAGAATTTGAATTGAAACCTGGATGCAGTGCCACAGGTCCAGAAAAACACAGGAACAGTGGAAAACAGACTGCAAAGCAGAGGCAGCAAAGCTACCCAGTTAAAAAAAACATGATGTACATAAAAAGTCAGTGCTTTTCAGTGAACCGACAACACTGATTAGGAGAGAAGTCTCACCTTTTAAGGGAGCCTGATCAAAACATCTGGTACAGAGAACTCATTGCAAATAGTGATCGTATTAGAAGAAATTCCCTCTCACCACTACTAGCTGCTTTACCCCAAGTCACTGCTATACAACTGGGAAAATTACATCTTTTCTATTCGTAATTGGAAAGATGTCCCTAGATCATTCTGAAAACAGTTGAGGTAGCTGCGTTTCTAACTTCATTTCAGACATAGTATACAACAAAGTTAACTCCTGTGAATATCGTAAGAATTAGATTGAGCATCTGTAAGAAAGAAGAAGTGAGTGTACCAGAAAAGTCAGCCTTTCAACACAGCAGTGATGTCATTCTCAGTACCTTGTAGCTCCAAAAATCTAGCTGGATATTAAAGAATTCAGTAGAAGACCATCAAGCCATTCAAGCAAGAATACTAACTACAAGATGGTATCAAGAGTATCAGCTCAACATCTTATCAAAACTAACCCTCACTGGATCTAACTGCTTTAAACTATTTATACCACAAAAATTGTTCATCTAAGCTGCACAGACCCAATCAAGACCATACAATCATGTTGTCTGCATTACATTACTACTTTAGAGAATCTGCATCTTTGATTGTGGGAAGCTAATCTTCTAATACAAGGTAAGTCACAAAGACAGACATGCAGTAATACCAGAACCCTCAGGTCAAAAACTTGCAGCTTCTTTCCAGCCTGATGTCCTAGCCCTTAGGTACCAGAGTTTTCAGACTACAAAGCAATGAATGGAGCATGTTTGAAGTAGTCTCTGAAGCTGCTCAGCTAACAAAGGGACTCACAAACACTGGAGCTTATACCCCATACTGTATTAAACTGTACCATCTTGACAACAGTAGGGACTTCAGTGGACAAAAAATTTCCACCAAATGACTGCGTGAAGTCTGTATGTGTGTTGCTGGCTGTCATATAAAAGATGCAGCTTGTCTTATCTCCTTATCCAGTTACTTCTATGCTACATTAGCTATTAAATTTCCTCAGGTCAATTTGCAGAAAGGGCATGAAGAGTTTCCACGCTCTCTTATATGATAGTAAAAGGAAAATACTTTAGGAGATTGTTTCAGAACTAATTGCATGATTGTGTTTTTGGCAAAAATGTATACAATTTCTAAAAATCTACTTAGCAGATTTAAGTTGTGGGTTTGGTTGGTTTTAAATGGATAGCAACTCCTGTAAGAATAAAAATTGATTAATTTCTCAAATCCAGTCAGCACAAGTCTAATATGTCATGTTCAAAGTTACAGCTAGGTATTTAATAAAAATATCAATTTTTTCACCCAAGTTTTGTCCTTCAGACTGATGTGCCATCTCATGTTGAAAAAACTGGTGTCAGTGCTGACTAAGCTTTCTACTTTTTTAAAAATACTGTAGTGGTATGAACTTGGAATAAACATTTTTCATGCTGTGATTTCAAGTTACAGGCAGAAATGCATATCACCACGGACTACCTATGTTAAAAAAATGCAGCATCAAATTTGGTTGTATTTGTGCAATGATAAAGAGGTGTTCACGTGGCACATGTGCAGGTTTAAGGGCGATTTTTAACTGGTTGCATGCATCTACCAGTAAGACTTGCAGTAGTGCAAGCAAACCTGAATGTAATTGAGAATGCTATGTCTGGTTTTGGTTCACAAAGAAAAAAAGTTATTTCTGTTAAAAGCAGCTGCAACTTTTATTTTGTAGACCAAAAATGAAGCCCATCCCCATCATACACACACATATAGAAAAGGCAAGACCATTGTAACCATTCACGTGAATGATATGGTGGGCAAACCTCCAGGACAGTCATCTCCTCAATACATTACATCTCACTCAAGACGGGTAATTCCACTCAAGTACAAGTTGGTTTTGTTAAAATCTATACACACACGCAAACGCACACACACACACGCTCTTTATGCATCATCTCAGGTCACTTTACTGCATAATTAAAAATAATAATAAAGGTAATGAAAACATCGCGATGATACTCTTAGAGCAACAGAGGTCTGAGGCACTCAGGGCAAAGAGGACATTTTCTGGCAAATTTGGTATTTGGTAGCACACGAGTCCAGTTCTATGAAGCACTAACTCCTTTCCCCCAACTAAATTCTGCAGTGCCAAGGGGAGACAAGGGCATGCAGCACCTCATATGCTTGGGTCTAGCGTGGCAACAAATTCACCAGACATCTCGTAAAAGGTGTATTTTATGCCCATGACTGTACGATTTAATGTCTGCATTGGTTTAACCATTTCTTGCATTACAGTGGTGTAAGACTAAGTCTGCAATGGGGTCTGAAAAAATTTTCCTTGCAATTCAGAAGAAAAAAAATAAATTCCCTCAGCAGATACACCCAAGATGGTGGAAAGGAAGTGGGCATGGGAAAAGAAAGGATAGAGAGAAGAGGCTTAATCAATCCACACTCCTTAACATGACAGTTTCCAGCTCACCAAGACCCATTAACAGAAAATAAAGGGGTATATATACTAACATTGCCCACTCTATATCCCACCTGAGGAAAAAAATATGAGTTTTCATAGCTGCCCCCCTAAGACTTTCCAAAACTGTGAAACTCATTTAACTGAGGGGGACAAGAAGGAGGGAGTAAACAGTTGTTTAAAAATTACCGAAAGAAAAATGAACGCAGCATTGAAGGGGTTTCATTTTCTCACACTCAGACTTATTTTGAGACACATACTTATTTCACTATATTTCACAAATCCAAAACCCCACAACTACTGTGGATGTACCTTTAAAAAAATTACCCACAGTTAACACACGCAGGAATCCTGTGAATCGTGGTATCTTTTTGGTTCTCATTCTATTCCTTTCCCTAGGCAAGTCTAATAAATCAGCTTCATCAAGCTTTTGGAGCAGCAGACTGCTTGCAAATACTGCTTCATGGAGAAGCTGCACATAAGAGAGAATTTATTAATTTTCCCTGTAGGATGCCTATTCTATCAACTCTCCAGCAAGAGAAACAAATCCTGCCATTAACACAGTGTGTCACCTACAGTCACAATCACCACAGAGGCCATCAGCAGAGAGATGGGGACAGAATTAAAGGAAAGGGTAGCCTATTCTTGGCAACATGCATGTCTGTCTCCCTTCTGCCCCCTTCTCTTACTGATAAACAAGGCCCAACCCGTGAGAGCAGTATCTGCAGAAGCAGGAACAAGTCTTTGGAACTAGAAATTATTAAAATCACAGGTGCTGCTCACATACCAAGAGGGACAGGACACATTAAAGTGGTGAAAAAAACCTGGATCCCAAAATATCAAGTTCAGTGTGAAAGATTACCCACACTTTTCTAGCTAGTATCATGGCAGCAACAGAAGCAATTGTGGGTCTAATCAGAAGAAAGGTGCTAAAGAGATCATTGAAGAAAGAAGAAAGATATAACGTGTTATAGGTAGGAGGAAAGCAGGAAATTCTCTAAATTCTTCTCTGCTTTTCCAGACATTGGATCAAGTTCTTCAAGATATTCCTCTTACCTACAATCACTGAGAACAAGTAAATGACAAAATCTCTCTATTCTGTACTCTTAAAAAAAAATGCATAGTACAGAGACACAAAAAAAATTATCTTTCAGATCCACCTGCTCAGTCTAGACTATCACTGAGACATGAAATGGGGACGAATACTGTCCAGCCGCCGAGTCAGGATCTCACAGCCTGTGTCGGTGACCAGGAGGGTGTGCTCAAACTGGGCAGATCGCTTCCCATCCCTCGTTACTGCAGTCCAGCCATCAGGCCATGTTTCATCTTGCCAACCACCTGAAACACAAATGATGGCTTTTGGACTGTTTTTAAGTAACAGACACCAGTTCTCCAAAGCAAAATTAAAAATGTATTAACTATACAGAACAGAACCAGCATTTTATTGCCTATTATTATTGCCTAATAGTAAGCAAGAGTAGCCACTTCACTCTCTTGCTAAATTGCTTACCTTCACAGATCATTGGTTCAATTGTAAATACATGACCTGGTTTCATGACTCCAACCGCTTTATTTTCTGAAATAAAATAAACACTCAAATTAGAAGAAGTGATCCCATCTTAGAAAACTGATGAATCTGTGTCCTAGAAGAACACAAACACTGTAAAGTCGAAAAAGGCCTTCAGAAACAACCCATTCACTTGTCCATTTTTATTTGTACATTGAGATTTCCCTCATTTCTTTCCATCTCCCCCTCCTCAAACACTGCAGTATGTACTAGGAGGAGGTTAAATTAGGTACTGTCTTTCTCTAGAGATCAATTCTAGTTTTATAAAAACACTGAACAAATGTAATACAGGAATGAAAAAAAAAGACTTCTTTGATAATTTTTTAATTCATAATTTAAAAAAAAAAATAAATAAAAATAAGCACTTAAGATATTCAGAGAAGGCTTAAAAGCTCTTAATTTGTTTCCACTGAGCCATTAGCTCCAACAAATTGTCAAAATATGATAGTGGTTGAGTAATCCCATGATTCCATTTATGAAAGACACATTGCCCTCCTCATTACTCTGGATAATGGGGCCACAACAGTCGTCAGGGTGATGATAATGCTGTATTTCTTTAGCTAACATAAAAAGGCAGAATTAATACTGGTACTTTTTGATGTTATATACACCAAAAATGTTTACGTGAAGGCACATGACCTGATGCACAGCATGTGTCTAGGAGTATAGTTTTCCTGAAGAAAGGCTTCAGCCCTTTTCCTTTGCCCTGTTTCACCTTCAACAGCTCTGCCTCTTAGATCAGACTCAGCCTAGAAGGCGAGAGCTGGAACAAACTCCAGTATTGCACAACAACACAACTGACACAACAGCAACCAGAACATTTTTTCTTTTACTTAAAGTGTCTTGCCTCTAGTCTCATCATCTGGTTATTTCTTGCTCTCAACACTTCCATCGAAATTTCCAGTCTTCTGAATCTGAACAAATTTTGTCCTTTATTCTCTCTAGTTTTCATTATTATATTAAATAATTTAAAAGCTTTTAAAATGAGCTTTTTGCTTTTAAAAATCCTTTCATAGTAAGCCAGAAATAAGCAGCAGCTTTCATTTTATTTTCCTTCAAGAGGCATTAAGTTTCACTTCGCTTTTGCTGCAAATTTGCATTGTAAAATACCATAAAAACCCTAGAACCTTCCTTCCTGGGAACAGACATCTTGGCTCAATTTAAAAAAAATTTAAAAAATAAAATAAAATAAAATCCAAACAGCCAGGAAAGATTTGTTATTTTCTCATCTTTTTAATTGGTATAACATGTCATCCCATCTCCACGGAGTCCAGATTTTCTTCATTTTACATGACAAAAATCAGGAACCCTTCTACCCTGTGACTAATAAGTTTTCTGTTCTCTGAAATAATTACTTAAGGAAATGATGAAGTCAGGGTTTGCTAAAGTTATAATTTGTAATTATAATATGTGCTAAAGCTCATGAGGAGATGGGAAGATGGAGACATCTGTCAGGTCTGAGGAAATAAATGTCATATCAGGGAAGCTCTGCAGCTGAATTGGGTATGAACTGTTTATTACCACTCCATATTTATTCTCTCCTTAATTATCCACGGGCACTTCAGCTTCTCTCCTTTGCCTCTGTGGATGCTCTTTTTAAGCCTTGCTGGCCAAGGATTGTCATGGGGATACTGCCATTTCCAAAAACTAAAGTGAGAACCTGGTAGGGGAAGGTTGCCACACACTACAAAGATTCAGGTACAATGCCTGACTATAACATTAAAAAAAACAAAACACCAAAAAACCTTTTTATTTACATGTGGAAATAGCCATAAGATTTCACTTAGACATTATAAGGAGAGAAGCACTTACCTATTCATGTCAGACAAAGATGTCTAAGGGATTAGTTTGGAATTTATGCAAAAACATTGAGTATTTTGTACAGACGAGAGCTAACAGTAACCATTAGTGCAGGCATAGGTTGTCTCAGTGTATACTATATTCACCTTATTCAGGCTCTTAAACCAAGATAGAGTTCAGAGTTTGGGGGGGGGGGGAAATCACAAGTGCAAAAATTCCAACTGGATGGCTGTCAGGCAACATGCTACTCTGTTACAATGTCAGCAAGAAGTAATGGGTGCATACATTCCAAAGCACTTCTTGTCTATAGGACAAGCTGAAGGAACAAATACTCACTGGCATAATGTGGCACATTAGGGGCTGTATGGAAAAGTTTATGGATTCCGTGCCCACAGTAACTCCGAACCACTGAAAATCCATTTGCTTGAGCGTGTTTCTGAATAATGTTTCCCAGCTCTCTGTACCGAACACCAGGTTTTACTGCAAAATTAAAGAGATACGGATGGAAATTTATAGAACTTTCTTTCCTTCAACATAACTAACCATCAAACACCATTAACATTGGCTTGTATGGCCATCTGTTCCAGTGTGCAACTTCCTGTGATCATTTAATCCACCAAGTATATGAGTGTAATAACATGAGAGAGAGAAGAAAGAGAAAGAAGGAAACTTCTTCACAAGAACACTGCTTTCTTCCTTTCATGGATGTAAGTGCTCACATATTAAAAGGACGTTGAAGTTTGAAATTAATAACAAAAGACTTTCAAAGTATTTGGCAGCTTCTCATATCTAGTTGTTTCAACAATTGTATGAACTGTATTTTAAACCAGACACCTCTCTACTACTAGGTAAAAGGTGCACAGAAATAAAGAAGAAAAATGATATGTGAAGAACCAAGAAGTGGGGGGGGGGGGGAAAAGACAAAATTGATTTCTCTGCTTAGATGAGATTTTTAGTGCCCATGTTACAGCAAATAAGAACGTTCATACGCAGGACTAACTTTTTTTTGACAATCTTTTTAGGAAACCTGAAAAGTTAAGTGTTGGAAACAGATGATGGTGTGAAAAATTCCCTTTCACCACTTGGACAAGGGAGTAACAATACCATAAAAGCAACACCACCTCATCCATCAGCTAATGAAGATGTGTACTTAAAGCAACCTTGAGCCACTAAAAAGAAAAAAGAATATAAATGCTGTTTCAACATCAAGCACAGCTCCTTGACTATATGCTGTTCCTTCAGGAGCCAGATGTCTGATTATGTGGAACCATCTTAAGCAGAGTTCACATACATAATACACAGCAAAATGTTACACAAAGCAAGCCATTTACTTCCATTATCTGCCAACGCAACTGCAACTCAAATCAGTAAGCTGAATGTACAGAAAATAACAAGAAATATAGATCACTGGAACATGCATGCTTTTCCCAAAATGATAATAAAAAAAGGACATGGTGGGGAAGAGAGAAAAATCTGTTGGTTGTGTGCCAATAGTTCTGAAGTACCATCTCCTTTAGGCCTGACAATACCAAGCAACTATCTCAATACAGCCAGGAGCCCTCTGCTTCTCTTTCTCATTCCATTCTCACAGTTGGAGTTCTGCTGGTCCAATGCCAAGAAATTAAGATGAGTTAAAGAGGGGAGAAGTGATCCTTTTTAACAGCTGAGAAAATTACTGCTAGAATTCCTACTAGCAGAAAATACCTAAAACCCATGAAAACCTGTTACAGTATCTAAAAAGTTGGTAAAGAAGTTACATTGAGAATTTAAATCTCATTATAATGAACACAAAAGTGAATTTCTATCATACTTTATACATCAAAGCCAGGATTTGAAAGATAAAACACGTAACATTTGCTATAAAAATAAAGTACAAAAGCAAAGATAAACATTATTCTGATTTAGCTCTGAAAAACAAAGTGGTCATTTCAGAATAGTAATCCCATAAAAATAGGTAATCTATATTCTTCATTGCATAACTTTGCAGTATTTTCTTGTTCACAAAATGGATATGCAAGATGTTGCTCATACAAACTTAGGTCTTTTCAGCCTGGGTAGCTATCTCCAAATTTTTAACCAAAGTAAATTAATTGATTTATTTTTTTTTTTGCTTTTGATTAAATGCAAGTTTAAAAAAATTTCATAGATAACACCTTCAGCTTCAGTTTTAAAGGTCATGAAGTGAGTAAATTTTATTGGAAATTTCAAGAAGCTGCAGAGTATAAACGATGAAGACAATACAAATATTTCCAAGGACCTGGGAGATTTTTGTTTTGTTTTCTCTCTTTGTCTAAGAGAACACAGTATCTTCCTCAGTGAATGAAGCTGAACATGACATTCTCTAGCTACATTTCTATCTCACTGTACATCTCAGGGAAGCTGTCCTGAGTTATATCCAAGTAACATAATGAAAGTTTTGTTGGTACTCAAGGATATGGATCCATCTTCTCTGGTAACACTCCCACAGTTGAAAATCAAGAGCTCATAATTAGTTGAAAAAACCACCAAGTTTGGCATGGCTAAAGAGATATGTTTGTATGTTCAAACAGTGCTTTACCTTATCAGTTCATTGTGCAACACTATGCAAATTATAAAAGTAGGGAGCCATAATTTGGTTTTCCAAAAGAAACTTCGTTCTTCATGTTCTCTAAACTACGTAGATCAAGGTTGTCTTATTCATCTAACTAAACGTCCTGAAAAGGCTGTTTCCATGTAAATTTCTTAGTATGTGGAACAGCTCAGCAACAATTACATTTTCCTGTCAACCCACATTTCAAATAAAAGTTGCAACTACCACCCACAGAATTGTCCCATGTAAAGAATCACTGCATTATACAATATATATCATGTGTTGGTGACACACACTAACACTTCTGTGTTCTACAACAGAAGGCATTTCTGGGTAATATCAAATATGGTCCTCATGATTCAGAACCAAAACGATAGTGCTTCAGGTCCTAGCCAAAGGGTTTACCTGCATCGATGGCTTGCATTAGGCATTCGTATGTTGTTTGGACAAGCCTCCTTGCACCCTCATCAACTTCTCCAACATAAAATGTCTCATTCAGATCTCCATGGTAGCCATTACGGTAGACAGTAATATCCACTGCAAATAATACCAGACATATTGTGATATATTAGCACTGTATTTCTCACTTCGTCTCTTGATTTGTGAAAGAACAACACATGTACAAATGTACTATTGTAATTGTGAAGTCACAAGATTATTTTGAAGAATTCCACAAGTAAACTCTTCCAGCAGAATCCATTTTCTCACTCTTATCCTATAGATTCTATGGAATTAATTTTTAATATACTGTTGCACTGGTCAATGGTTTGATTTAAAAAAACAAAGATAAAAAACCCCACACCAATAAAACAGACATAGCAAGCTTATGATAGGTTTCTTAGGTAAATATAAAAACAGAAAAGAGAAGCTCTTTGCTCTGTGGTGATTTACCCAGTTAAATATTTTCTTAGAACTAATTCCAGCACTAACAAGGGGAAATTAAATTTTAAAAGGTATGTAATCACGTTTAACTCATATTTTAACTTCAGCAATTTCTATGCATGTTTAGAATAGTAAGTCACACCACTGCAAAACTTGTAATGCCAAAACCCACTGCTCCAGCCAAAAAGACAAAATTTCATTAACATTAAATACACAGCAACTTTCCAATAGTATTCCTGACTAAGCAAAATACACCAAACAGCTTAATTTTTTTCTTTTTTCTGTCAAACGAAGAATTTAAATATTCAGTGTCAGGCAAACAGCAAGAATGAGAAGGGCATGCTTAAACAACCGAGGTTTAGAAGAGTATTTAATAGGAGTTTAGAGTTATGTTGAAGCAAAACTCTTGTTTGCTTTGAGTATAAAATTTGTTGTAAACTAAAGATGATAAAACTCATTCTTGAAAAACAGCATCATTAGCAGTTTAAATGAGAAAAAAAAAAAAGGTTTTATTTTGCTTAACTCAGTAAAAAAAAACAAACTACAAAACAACAACGCTTTTTTTGGATTAAGAACATCCATAGCAGATGCTTGTTTGAAACAGTCCTTTTACAAAAGACAGGAACAGGCCTCCCAGTTTGAAAAGTAGCTGTCATCTATGCCAGCATCCTGTCTCTCATAGCAGACAAATAAACAATTAAAACCTGCCATCATATAGTCATTATATATAGTAAACACAAGCAAAATATTCCAGATTTGTATATCAAGTTGACTTCCTGTGGTAGAATGGGTGTTTCTGTGTTTAACAGACTTTGTCAGTAGTCTGCTAAGTCTAACTATTGCTAGAGTACCAAATCCACTGGAATAGTTACTGAATACATTAAGAAATCCAGCTGCAGACTCCCTCACAGGTAAACACCCATGAAGGAAGCTCTGCTGTGCAATAATTTTGCAATGTTGTATATAAGCCACTTAGAAAGACCAGCACAACCTTGATAGGAAAAAGCGGGGAAAAAAACCCACTAGTATCAACAGTAAATCTGTACTGCTGGCAAAGGTTTAAGGATGAAATTAAGACTGGACAACAACCATACTGCCTCTGTTGTGGATGCATGCATGTGCAGGGTTACACTACACCCACTGCAGGACTAGAAGGGATTACAAGAACATGTTGACCAGTGTACATACCTAGTAATGTAACAACAGGACTGTATAGAAACCAGCACTCTGGTAACTTATCCAGATGAGTTTCTTGTGACCAGTATATCAGAGCTCCATAGGCCACTCTACAGACTACCTGCTGCAAAGAGGCTACCTCTACAGACCACATGATTACACGACTTTCTCTTGATATTGCCAGATTTGGCCAGAACATTCCACTTTGCAGACAGATCAGCTTTGTTTAAGAATGTGCTCCCAGGGAACAGTACAAGAGCAAAATGTTAAGATGAACAGATGCTCAGAGCAGGAGGTTCAACTAAACATCACCTGCCAGTACCTTCTGGATGACCTTTTCCTGCAATTCTGAAGACCTACTTTGGACTCTGACCTTTTGCTTCCAGCAGGCTAAGAAGTTTTAAGTAAAGAGAAACACTTGCCTCCATTGTTCACTGGGCACATTCTGTGCAAAGTACTCCCACCTCCTCTTTGTAATCTGCTTTGTTCTTCCTTTTGAAGGGGCTTTTGAGCCACTACCTTACCAAAAAGAAAGCCTACAAGACTTGGAGGCCTTTTGAGCCTATAGCAATGCACCTTTGATCCACAAAATGTGTATCATTTTGTAACCAGACCTACTTGGCTACAAAAGACTAAAGTAGTTCTTTCTCATCAGAACAAAACAGAAGGCCCAGGCTTGGGCATATGCAGTCAGGGAAGGGATGTGAGAAAAGGTAAAAACTAAACCCTCTTACAAGAGGTGTTTTCTAGTGCTGAGGTATTGCCTTGGCATGCAAATAGTGGAGGGGCAAGGCACTGTGTGGATGAAACCAACCTAGTAAGCTTAACTGGGTTTCTTAATTTGGACTCAAGCAATGTCAGAAAAGGTGGAACCAAAAGAGAGTTGTGCAAAGGCAGCATGTTTGGAATGAAAAAAATAAAATAGCTTTGACCAAATGGCTACATGTTTCCCAAATACTGGACACTTCTAAGACTCAGCTTGACAATGTACTGCGCTGTCTCTTCTAGACCATGTTCCTACTTTAAAAGGTTGGATCAGACGATCCTTGATGTCCTTTCCAACCTGGCATTCTCTAATTCTGTGTATTCTACAGCTCAGACCACTGACCTTTAAACTTAGTATTATTGCATGCTAACATATATAAAATATCTTACAATCTAAAAGGATTTCAACCTGCTTCTAGAGGTAGGCCAACCTTAGAATACACTGGGTACTTATTTTTAATTAAGAGAAAACCAAACAAATGCAGTAAATAAAGGTGCAAATGTTTGTACCAAACATCGATTTTTTTTTTACTATCAAACCAAGAAGAAATCAATGAGAAAAAAAAAAGTGAAGTAATTTATAAAAGTATTCCTCACCTCCCAAGAAGGCATAAATGCCCTGAGTACAAGGAACAAAAAGCAACTGGGACTGTTAGAATCATAGAATCAATAAGATTGGAAGCAACCTCAAAGATCATCAAGTTCCAAGCCCCCTGCCATGAGCCGGGAACCCTACCACTAGGCTGAGTGATACTCAAAAAAGACGTTTTTAATATGCACCTACGAATGCGTCACCATTAGGATCCTTAACAGTCATCATAATTGTCATGTCCATAGCAAAATCTTAAGGATCTAGAGCCATCTAATTAAGAATTCAGACAGAAGTAACCCAGTTGAGTAATTCAATACACATTTTATTCACTATTTATACAGCTTGGAACAACTGCAACCTAAAGGACAAGTGGAATACTCAGCCACTATACTAACACATGGATGAGAGTGCAAGAATATATTATAAAGCTCTTAAAGTGGACCAACCTCCTGAAATTATTTTATTAAATGAACTAATTAATTTAAATATGTAAAGTGCAGAGGTTAATTAGTAAATGAGAACAAAAGCATCTCTTAAGTTTTTTCTAATCATGTCGCCTGCTAGAGAAACCTCACCTTCCTGCACGGTTTAACCGGACACAAGGCAGAAATATTGAAGGCTAATTTTCATAACACTTACCATTAACAATATCTCCCTCCTGCAATGGTCTCCTGTCAGGAATTCCATGACAGATCACTTCATTAACTGATGTACAACATGACTTAGGGAAATTATAATAATTCAGAGGAGAAGGATAGCAATTCCTTGCAATACAAGCCTAGTTTAGAAAACAAAATTTACACTTAACATTAGTAAAATCTGTACAAAGAAAAAAAGTTATGGACAACAGCTTCACAGTAAGAATGACAAATTGAAAAGCAGTGCAGTAGCATTTCTTACCAGGAAGTAAAGCTAATTTTATTTCTACTAATTTTTATGTTCAACTACCAATGCTCAAATATTCAGGTTTTAAAAATGCATGGCAGTACTTATTTAGTAAAATAAAACCAGCATTTTCAATTACTGTTTTAAAGCACCTGGTCTAAGAATGTAAGTATTCTTGCAAAACACTCAGGCTAGCCAAAATAACATTTAGCACCACTCTTTCACACCTTAACTTAAGCCACTTCCCTA